AAAAAAAAACAACAGTTTAGAAAGCCACAATTGGCAAAGAAAAACGTTGTTTAAAACATAAACAAATTTTGTGCTTTGAAAGTTAAGGAGAACTCTAAACATATGACCGGGGAATGAATTTGGCTAGAAATTCTGCTTGTTTTTGTGGGCTTACACATGGGACTTTCTTTTTTTCCGTTTTTCCTTACTTTTTACCTTCCTCATTCGCTTTTTCGGGGACAGAATTATGTAAATGAAATACAGTGCTTTATATGTTACTGTGTGATGGAGGTTTTGATCGCAAAAGTCACGAATATTTATTTTTATTTTTTTTATTTTTTTTTATTTCATTAAACACCGCCAAGCTCTGGCTGAATATAATGTGGGTTTTGTTAGAGGTTTGGCCGGAAAAGAGTGCAAGACTGTTACAATTTTTATAAATAATGAACAATAGTAGCAGTAACTTTCGATAACTTTCAGTTCTCGCCTCGTTAAAAACCTGGCTCTTTTCGTAAATAGAACAATTACCGTAAAATTTGACAGAAACAATTCGAGGAACAATGAACATTTGAGTCAAACAAACAAAAATTGCTTTTCAACTATGTTCAATTCAATTTTCTCACTAGGAAAAATAAAGACTGGCTAAAGAAATCAAAATCTTCAATTGAAATAGATAATGCAAGGTATCAAATCAATAATGCTGATCGGTTTTCCATGTTACATTGAGTTTAGTTTGAGCTTCTTACCTTTTCAAAGCTACGAAATTGACAATAAAGAGCTCGAAAAATGAAAAACTTTCCATATCCGACGTTTTATTTTTAACTTTCAATTAAATGCGATGTATAATAAACAAATAAACAAAAAAAAAACAAAGAAATCTATTTGTTGTTATTCAATGGAAATGCGTTTTATTGAATGGAAACAATTTCAAAATGTTAATAAAATTGATACCATTTGAACCAATCCCGAAATTTAACTGTTATTCATCCCACTTGAAATATACTTTCAATTTTATCGAACATTCAGTTCGCCCTAGTTTGTTTTTGTGCTTTGAAATGTCGGTGCAAATAATAAATTATATATTTTTGATGCGTACAATCCATGTGAAATTTTTTTGACTGAATGCCTGTTTAAATTGATGATTCAATTCACAGAGAGTTAGAAAATAAATTGGAATTTTTTTTAAAAAAATAGTCAGCTTTAGACACCTCTCAGACAGACGTAGCTTTGGTTACCTTTCAGGCAGTCGTTTAATGTTGGACATTTTAACTGAAGAGTAACTATCAAGCGACTATGACTAAAGTTAACTACAGTTGCCCAAATGGACAAAAACGAAATTATTAGGCAGTCAATAGCCAACCCAAAATGTCTAAAATTGGGAAACAAGCTACTCAGTCAAGAAATTTTCACACAGGAAAATATTCATTCGTTGTGAAGTGATATCAATTCTTTAGAAAATCTTATATCTACGATTACAGTCTCCTATTTTGTTTAAATTCTCTTATCTTAAGAATAATATTATCATAATATTATGAACTCAGCCAATAAAAAGCCGTTCAAGCCTCACCGTCCCTACCTACAAACCCGCCAGCCACCGTAAGTCTAAATATTGCTTAGTCGTTATGATTCTTTTGTTGGCTGTGTCGTGATTTCATTGAGAATGTTGGTCAATTCAGTGTTTTCAAGCACAGTCAAATGGTTTCCGTCCACATATTTGACGTTCACTCTCTGTTCCGTATATTTATGCAGATCATAGTCTTCAACAATATCGGTGAATGAAGCTAGGGTTGGTCGGACTAGAGTGATTGATGATTTCAGTTTTGCATCTATAACACCGGCAAATTCATCTTTTTCAAAATTCAAGTTCATCACCAGTTTTAGTCGATTCAATATCGCTCCAGTGATATTGTAAAGATATTGCTTTGAGTAATTGGTTTTGAATTCAGATGATACAAATTCACAGATTAATTCGATTTTTGCTAATAAACTATTGCAGGTGGCCAATTTCTTAGCAAAACTATCGAGCATGTCAGTGCTGCAGAAATGAGCGAATAAAACCATGATTAGATCATTTTCTGGATCGCCAGTTTGAACAGTTCGACGTAAACCTTGTGCCAATCGGAACAAATGCGTGGGCGAACCATCAATCAGAATCACATGACCAACTTTGCCACGTTTTTCAAGCATTGACGCAATTTTCATTGCAATGTAAGTGCCAAACGAATGACCCACAATATAGTATTCATTTTGATTGGTAAACTGGCCATATACTTCGTCGATTATGGTGTCGGCAATCGCTTTCAATTTGATTTCATTCCGGGATTTCATCAACTGAAGAAGTTTAGAGGGTATTTTCTGAAAGTAGACATCAAAACGTTGAGTTATAAAATATGAAAATGGCCAAATAGCAGAAATTTTATGATTTTATCGAGTTCCTTACCATATTTGCACCCACAGACTGCCAAATTGGGCCACCAACACCCTCAATTCCTGTGAACAGAAAGAGTATTGATAAACAATCGTTTTAACTATCAATAACTCAATGTGACTCACCTGGAATGAAAATGATTTGTGGCGATTTTGCCGCCAAGTTATTGATTGGCAATAGTGTAATGTCGCTCATTGATTCATCGCCCAAGTTTTGGAACAGAATATTTGCTGGAATCTGAGGTTCATTCGATGCTTTAGCTTCGTGTTTGGCTCCAGAGCTCGATAATTCCTCTAATTTTGCAAATGTAACCGAACGCAGTTGTTGAGGCGTCAAAAACACATCGAATTCACGTTCTAAAACTTGTTTTATTTCGACCGACATCAAGCTATCCATTCCTAGCTCGGCCAGTGATGCGTTCTTCGAAATGGATTTGATATCACGAATGCCCATAATTTTCATTACACTCTTGATTAGAGTCATTTGACCGTCTTGACCCGCCTCACCCGCATGTTTATCAGCCACTACTATGCTAGAGACAATGGCCTGCGGTGAAGTAAGCAAAGTATCCAAGACATTCAAACAAGACTCGATGCGTTGTTGCATCGTGCCAACAACCTCGATATCTTTCCCCTGTAACATCTCAGCTACAAGACCGACCTCACCAATAGCTCCCCATTGGATGGCTTTGCCCGGTAGCTTCTCCTGCAAACGTTGCTCTATGATACGCTCCATTATCGAGTTGGCCATTCCGTAGTTCGATTGGCCAGCGTTTCCTCTGCCACAAGATGCACTTGAAAACACCACAAAGTGTTCCAGTTTTGGACACAGAATTCGAGACAGTTCATTGAAGTATCTCGTAGCGATGGCTTTTGGTGCGATGGATTCTTGGAACTTTTCGACTGATTGGTTTTCCAGAATACTATCACGGAGCACAACAGCCAAATTGAATATACCACCAATTTGTCCATAGGTCAGAGACTGTACGAGTAAACTTTTCGTTCCTTGATACGTACCAATGTCGGCGATATTGACTATCACCTTGCAGCCGTACGATTCCCAAAGTCTGTTTTTAAAAGGAAAAAATCATCATTTACATTGAAGTTACATTGGTCATCAATATCCTTACCTTATTCTAAATGCTTGATATGAAGTGGTTACTCCTCGTCGAGAGTTTAAAACTAAAAATCGGGCACCACGAACCACAAGCCAGTCACACAGTTCCACACCGAAACCGCCCAGTCCGCCAGTAACAATGTAGACTAAATCCGGTTTGCAATATACTTTCGGGTTCACTTTTATCGGAACCGATGCTAGAGAGTGTTCTGTCTCACGTATTTGAATCATCACTTTCCCAACATGTTTTCCAGTGCTCATGAAACGATATGCATGCTCGATTTCATTGACATGGAATGCAGTCGAATGGAGTGGTTGAATTATTCCAGTTCTCAAATCTTTGTCCATTAGTTCGTAGACAATTTTCCGCTCTTCGGGCATATAAATCAAATTATCAGCGAAGACGGCTCTGAATGTGGTTTCATTTTCAAATGCACTCATTCCTAAAGCTGAGTTATTCATGATATCGAATTTTCCGATCTCTAAGAATGTACCGCCAGGTGCCAAACAACGCACTGAGGCCAATAATTTTTCATCAGACAGAGAATTCAAGACAAAATCAACACCTCGGCCCTTTGTACGACGCAATACCAAATGTTCAAACGAACAATCTCGTGACTTGCCGATGTTTTCCTCTGAAAGTGTAGGAAATTGTTTCAGACTTCTTCAAACTTTTCCTTCAAAACTCATAACGACAAACCTTTTAACTGTGGAAACAAACTCAAGATAAACTTCTTCTTTTGTTGCGTTGAAACCGTAGTGAAGACTTCCAAACCATATGCCAATGCAATGCGAATAGCTAAATAAAAAAGGAACCTTTCATTTATTAACATCAAATTTTAGTAGGATAGACCAATTTACCTGCCAAACCAATACCTCCGCTTCCTGAGAAATTAAAAGACAAATTGAAAATGAACATTTCTTCATGGAATCATTTTGAATATCATGACAACTCACCAGCATGGATCAAGATTGATTTGCCCCTGGTGATTGGTTTTCCAAAGAAGAAGGCATAATATACAGTGATGTAAACCGTTGGAATGGTAGCACCATCACGCAGTGACCAATCTTTAGGAATAATCCACGTAAAATGTTCAATTGGCTTAACTTGTGTGGCCATCGAACCTGACTTCACCATTCCCATTACACGTTCGCCACAAGTATTGATTCCAGAGAATTCAAATCCCAGCAAACAATCACCATCAATGCGCGAACCATGGCATGATTCGGTTGAAAGTCGACCCGTGGCTAACATCACATCTTTGAAATTGATTGACGAGTAATGGACGTTGACCAATTTATCGACTGTTGGCTTCAGCGGTCCATTAAGCCAATCGAATGATGATAAATCGCCAATTCGTTGAACATTTGCATAAACGTGATCTAATCGAGGAGTTTCCTGCAGATTTGGTTTCAGTTCGAAGAAACGATACGTTCCCCAAACTGAGTTACGGTAAACGTTTATCGCCAATCCAAGGTCCAATTGAGAGACATACAGACTGTTCTCGAAAGCGAATTTCGGAGATAATCGATCCATAATGATGACGCATCGGACCTTCTCGCCGCCTGGCTCACGGCGCAGGCAGTTAACAAGTCCCAACAAACCCGGAGTAGGATCGTTTTGAGCCACAAGCAACACTGGACCAGATTTTATACTGTTTTTGACGCCTTCAAGCCATTGGTAATTGAAGTCATTTGAGAGAACCTCAATGATTACTTCATCTTTCAATGACTCGGTTGTTTGTTTTCGTTGGAGCAACACTAGCGTTTCACTCTCAGTTGGAATGGTTGTAATCATGTTAAAATCAGTCGGCAGCTCAGTGAAAGTGGCATTTCCGCTTTTACGTACAAGCAAAAATGACTTTTCTTCAATTGATTTGAGAACTTGTTCCATTTCGATCGTAGCATCCTCCATGGCAATCATCACATTATATCCCTTCAAATCGGAAACCGGTGTGCCTTTTAACGTTTTGACGTTCTCAAGGGAAACGTCTTGTTCAGTGAGGAATTGTAAGTCACCTATGATCAATGGAGTTCTTGAGATAGCTTCGTCGAATAGCGTTATGATTGGTGTTACGTTTTTGGAGTCGATTTCGACAATTCTCAGTTTTGGCGATGCGACTGTGTTCTCGATTATGAGCTGTGTCAAGACATGAACACCGTTCAATAGTGTGAGTGTTTCACTTGGAACCAAAGGCAGGAATCGGTATGCTTCCAAGACCTCAAGACCTGGTGGCTTTCGACGTGCAATCGCATTCACGCTCATGTCATAGATTTCTACTCCACCACATTTCACCATCTTCATTTCAGGATCGTAGGATGCCATCAGTTCGCCATTTTGTTCGGCAATACTGTTCAACGTCGCGGTTTGCTTCACTGAATCGATTCGCACTCTTCGGATTCGAGTTGGTAAATACAACGCCCGCGAGTCCTTCGCCAAAATATTCACTTGGAGCATAGTGTCCAAGAACGCTGCCCAGTTGTCGTTCCACTTGATAATGGCTTTTTGGCCATCTAAACGGGTCTTTTCCACTCCTTGGAATAGGTTTTGATAGTGATAACCGCGCAATCGAAGCTCTTTGTAGAAATCTTTCTTGTCAAGCACATTCGTACCGTTTTCGAACTCTTCTGCATCGATCGATACATCCTCAGACTCGGTTGTTTCGACGTTACGAACCATTCCTGATACGACCGTGACTCCATTCTCCGTAATTTCAAAATGTCCACTGCCGTAATGAATCATGATGTTTAAGTCAACCTTTTGACCAGGCGCGATCGTAGTGGCTCTCAAGAATCGGACATCCTCAAATTCGACATTAATGGTTGTGCTAATCGCACCGAATGTCATCATCGACAGTGTATCCCAGACCAATTGCAAGTAAGTTGTACCAGGCACAATGACACGACCTGAGGAAGTTCGCAAATTGGGTTTAAAAAAATGCTTCTATAAAATTTATTCAAGAATTCTTGTAGAAGAAATTTCACGAATTTTTTTACAATGTCACTGACTGTCTTCAGAAATTACGTAATTTAGTATCAACTTACCGTCAATAATGTGGCCTGATATGTAAGGATCCACATCTAATGAGACAGATACTTTTCGTTCACCGCTATGACCGCCTTTCTGAACGAAGAACTTCATAACAAACCAATCTTCTGTATGATCCCATTTTATCAATGGTGATATCATTGGCGTTCCGCGTGAAACAGGGAACTCAACTTTGGGATAAAGGCGTTCGATCGGCAAAGTGAGGCCATTCAGGAACATTCTTGTTAAGAAAGTGTCTGTTAGAAGGATTTGTATAAATGCGGTGTAAACGCATTGAAATACTTACTTTCCCAAAGCGCTCAAGAAGAAAACGGCATTATTTTCATGGCCACGATGAGTGAGCGGCACGTGAACAGCTTGTAGCATCGATTTCTTGACAATTGCTTGGAGAAGTCCGTGCGGAGCTATTTCGATGACGATCGATTCCGAAGGTAGTAAGTGAACCGTTTCCTCAAACAAAACAGGCTTCAGTAGATTGTTGGTGTGGTATTCGGCGGAACTGAAATTGCTCTGCTGCAAATGCCATTCTTCCTTGGGAACACTAGTGCTGAGCCATTTTCCAGACCGTTTCAATGGCTGTGGAATGATTTCTCGTAACTTATGCAAGAGCTTTGGTCCCATATCAGCAATGTATCTTGAATGGTAAGGAATATTGGAGCATTGAACTTCCTTCGCGAAAATTCCCTGTGATTTAAGCTCCTCGACAAACTTGGCAACATCGGCCTTTGGACCGGATATTGTTGTTGAAATGCCGCTGTTACGGCAAGCGGCTTCAATAGTTGGTGGTAGCATATGAACCACCTTTTCATAGCCCAAACCAACAGCTGCCATCGATCCTTCGATGACCTTAGTCTCGACACTAACAACGCCCCGGGAGTATGCGGCCAAAATAGTTTGCTCGGCCGTAAGTGTTCCGTCCGCATAAGCCACTCCTAACTCTCCAACCGAGTGGCCGATGCAATAATCCATTTTAACGTCTAACAATCGAAGTATGTTCACGAGACCAATTTGAATGCATGAGATACCGATGAATGAGTTGACAATGTGATCGAAGGTCTTTGGGTCATCTGAAGTGATGACTGACATCAGATCCACACCGAATGGCTTGAGAACACGATGGCATAACTGGACAGTTTCACGGAACTGTGGGAAAACCATCAAAGCCTTGCCCATCATTGGCCATTGTGAGCCCATTCCACTGAACAGCCAAACAACCGGCAGCTTATTTCCATCGACTCGCTTCATTGCGCGCGATAAACTCAAGGCATTTTTCGAAATATCTCCATTCGAATCTTTGCTTAGAATTGTGTAACCACGATGGAGATATCCTTGTACCTCCTCAGCTTGAGCGCTGTGCAACAGACCAATGTACTCAGCATCAAGTGGCTGTGATTCCAACGTATTGAGCATTGCATTGACCGCTTCTTCTGTTCGACCAGCCCAATTCACAAGCCGTGGAATATTGTCAAGCGGAGCTCCTCCGTTGATTTTATTTTTTGGATTCATCGAAAGCAAAGCATGAGCTGAAAAAAAAATTTGATACAAGTAAATTGATTTGAATTCACGTATGAGTCAACGGTCAATTCTATTCAATTTGTCAACGACGAAATTGAATTTATTTTGAATAAATTTATCACTTATTACAATTGAATGTGATTCATTTTCAATTCAGTGTTAACTAAATATGCATGAATTTGAACAGTGGCATTTAAATTGTGATAGTGTGCGTAAGTAAGTTTAATTCATTTTCGGCAAAGTAACAAAAGGCAAATAATCACGACAGAGAGAACAAACTAACATTCTTTGTAAACAAATTGAAATTCTCCAAAGTAATTTGAATTCCAATTAAAGTTCATTGAATTTTAATTTGGAATAGGTGACTTACCGTTGGCTCCACCAAAACCAAATGAGTTGATAGCAATTTTATCACCATTCAAAGGTGTTGTTTCACTGCAAACGATCATGCGTTTTTCAGTGAGCGCCGGGATCGATGACCGAATCTGTTCAAAATTGAGATTTGGTGGAACTTTTCCATGTTCGAATGCGATAATAGCTTTGGTAATTGAACATGCACCAGACGTTGATTCCGTATGCCCAATATTTGATTTGATCGAACCGACTAACAATGGTTCGGTACGACCTCGACAGAATATATTGTCTAATGCTTTACACTCTTCGGGATCACCGACAAAAGTACCGGTACTATGCGCTTCAACATAGCCGACTGTAGTTGGGTCCAATTGGAGATCGTCATAGAATTCCGCTAAAAGTGCCTCTTGCATTTCGCCTGATGGATATGTTATACCCTCAATTTTGTATCCATCGCAGTTCGCTTTCGAATAAATCAAATTTGCGTAGATACGTTTGGCATCTCTTGCTCGTTGCAAATATATTACACAAATTCCTTCTGATCGAGTGTAACCGGACGCCTTTTCGTCGAATGGACGACAGTAGCCGTCTTTTGCAATGACCCCCAATCTAAAAATAAAGTTTGAGTAAATGATGAATTTTGTCTCATCGAAACTTTTCAATTTCTATTCAAAGTTAAACTACCTGGCAAACTGAAGCGTCGTGTATGGATGCAAAAGAAGATTCGAACCACCAACCAAGGCAGCATCACATTCGCCACTTCGAATGGCCGAAAATGCGACATCCAATGCATACATTGAACTTGAACAGGCCGTGTCCATCATAAATGATGGACCAGTTAAGCCCAAGCAGTACGAAACACGATTTGCAAGCATCGCACGGCTACATCCCGATATTCCCAAACCGCCTAATGTTATGTGAGTTGGATCATAGAAGAATGCTCTTTCCGATTCATTAAAACAAGCACCGATAAAAACACCCGTTTTCGATCCACGTATCGACTTTGGGCAAACACCCGCATCCAAAATTGCTTCGTAAGCAGTTTCAATTAGCAATCTACCCTGCGGATCCATACAATGCGTCTGCTTATACGGAACACCGAAAAAGGTTGCATCGAACTTTTCAATATCGTTGATTATACCCATTCGAGACGGAATCTCTGGGTCGTAATTGGGCCATCTTTCTCCTAATGCTGTCACCAAATCCACCTAAAAATATTGCGATTTTTTTTTAATGTAACATCTTTTCTGGATGAAAATTCGAACCAATGATGAATATTTGGCTATTCACACAGAATTTTTTTTAGTTCTCAACTGTTGTAGCACTTTTTTGCGATTTTTTTTCTTCAAATAATAGGTTGTCAGTGTGTTTTTGCATACAAAAAAAAATTCACCTTATTATATAATTTTTTTGCAAATTCCGCAACATTTTCTGCATTTGGAAATTTTCCGCTAACTCCAGTAATAACAATTTCATCACCTGGTGAAGCTGCTCGAATACGAGCGTCCACTGTTTTACCACTGTTTGGTTTCACTTCGGACATTTTTCAACAGTTTTTTTTTTCAATCGAATTTTTGTTTTTCTATTTCAAATAGATTTTCTTCACTTATTACTTATTCCTTCTTTGTTTTCACAATATTCAAAATAAATATTATAATTTGATAACAAACAGAACCAATTCTTCCACCAAAAAACACTTGAATGTTCAAATATATTTTGTAATCACTTAACAAAGACTTTGGCACTTTGTTAATTTATTTGGAATTTCCCAAATGTGTTTTTTTTTCAATTTCACTATTTTTCCACTTAAAAAGCCACTTAATTTTTCCAATATGAGCACTTGAACTGGAGCGATCGATCACTGACTGGACAGATACGATGGAATGATGGCCTTTTTATACGAAACTTTCACGCATTTTTCGATTGTATCAGCGCATTTTTAACTTATCTAATCGTTGAACCGACCGAAAAAGTCAAACAATCTAATATTCGTTTTGTTCTCTGAATAATTGGCTTTTGTCGGTTCAATTACGAAATTAACATTCTTCAAATTACCGCATTCTTGTCTATTTGGCTAAAATGCAAATTAATCGACATTAGCGATTGCAATAATGAATATCAACTGTTATATGCATATTAGAGTTTGAAAAGGAAAAAAAAACAACAGTTTAGAAAGCCACAATTGGCAAAGAAAAACGTTGTTTAAAACATAAACAAATTTTGTGCTTTGAAAGTTAAGGAGAACTCTAAACATATGACCGGGGAATGAATTTGGCTAGAAATTCTGCTTGTTTTTGTGGGCTTACACATGGGACTTTCTTTTTTTCCGTTTTTCCTTACTTTTTACCTTCCTCATTCGCTTTTTCGGGGACAGAATTATGTAAATGAAATACAGTGCTTTATATGTTACTGTGTGATGGAGGTTTTGATCGCAAAAGTCACGAATATTTATTTTTATTTTTTTTATTTTTTTTTATTTCATTAAACACCGCCAAGCTCTGGCTGAATATAATGTGGGTTTTGTTAGAGGTTTGGCCGGAAAAGAGTGCAAGACTGTTACAATTTTTATAAATAATGAACAATAGTAGCAGTAACTTTCGATAACTTTCAGTTCTCGCCTCGTTAAAAACCTGGCTCTTTTCGTAAATAGAACAATTACCGTAAAATTTGACAGAAACAATTCGAGGAACAATGAACATTTGAGTCAAACAAACAAAAATTGCTTTTCAACTATGTTCAATTCAATTTTCTCACTAGGAAAAATAAAGACTGGCTAAAGAAATCAAAATCTTCAATTGAAATAGATAATGCAAGGTATCAAATCAATAATGCTGATCGGTTTTCCATGTTACATTGAGTTTAGTTTGAGCTTCTTACCTTTTCAAAGCTACGAAATTGACAATAAAGAGCTCGAAAAATGAAAAACTTTCCATATCCGACGTTTTATTTTTAACTTTCAATTAAATGCGATGTATAATAAACAAATAAACAAAAAAAAA